TTTTTTTTATATCAACTCTATAGGACAACTTCGGTTTTTAAAACTTCATCGAGTAGTAATTATACATGTAACACGAATTAGTAGAAGCTTAATGAATTATGCCTGTGTATGCTATATATCTGGATGAGGATTTTTCTGTGCACGGTTTGCTGTTTTCGTGCACAAAAAAATCTTTTCACACTTTTGTGCACGGTTACAGCAAGGTGCACGGAAAAAGGCAGAAATGTGCATTGAAACGTTTTTGTGCACGGTTACAGCAAGGTGCACGGAAAAAGGCAGAAATGTGCATTGAAACGTTTTTGTGCACGGTTTTTGAAGAACGAGGTTAATCTATATCCTATTGTTTGATTATTAATTTTTCTTTATCACCAAAAATATAGCATGTAGCTATTTACAAATAAAAACTTCTTTTAGTATTCCCACCAAATTTATGATCGGCTTAATGCGTTTCCTGCCATTTTTGGAAGTATTCTTGTTTCGTCGATAACTCATTCTCATACCGCCCCTCCCGCTTCTGATGTTCTCCGATCTATATTCTTTGAAATGACTGATTTGTCGACGAAACGAGAATACCCCTTTTTTGGACGACCACACCTTTTTCCTGACACTTGTAATTTAGCTGGATGATTTTTGTTTAAAGAAAAAATATTTAGAGTGTATTGAAAACTGTGGGTTGAATTAATTCTCAAAGAGAAGAACGTCACTCTACATCAGTTTTCAAAATTTATCATACATTTCAGTTAATAAGTCTCGTTTGTATTAAACGAGACGTCTGTTCATAGATCATCTTATTTGGTTTAGGTTATTTGCATGTAAAACGAAAATATCTTTTACTAGTTGAAAAGCCGTACACAAAAACGTCTTCATGGATATTTCTGTCTTTTTTCCTTGCACCTTTCTGTGACCGTGCACAAAAATGTCAGAAGATTTTTTAGTGCACGGAAAATAGCAAACCGTACACAATTTCGGAAAAAACCGTGCACAAAAAACATTTTTCCCTATATATCTTCTCTTTCTTTTTTTCTTAGTTTGTTTTTAAGGTAACCGCCCATTGCCAAATTTTCTACGCGACTTGTCTCATCAAAACGAGAAAATAAAAAAACACGTTTTGTTTCATTTTTTCATACTAAAGAACGAGATACAACGCGTTTTTGATCCGTTTTTTTAGTACAAAAAAACGAATCAAAACACGTTTTTTTATTTTCTCATTTTGGCGAGATAAGTCACGTAGAAAATTTGGCAATGGGTGTTCTCACATGTAACCAGAGTAGACATGGGCGAGTCTCGGTTCTGATTGCGATTTTTTAAAGGAATCGGTTTCTAAATTTAACATTCAATTTCTGAAGTTGTCGAAGACAAACCTTGATTAAATGCAATAAATAGATGATATTTAGTATTTAAACCACCGTATTTCGTTCGCACGGTTTCATTTTATTTACTGTTTTTATTCTTTTTTTGAAACTATCTTCGCTTGTTTACTATTTTCTTACGTTTTCTATATTTTTTTACACAAATTGGAGTTTCTTCAAAAGTCGATCAGACCATCTAGATTCATCTTATGTTAGTTAGCAATTTCAGCATAATAAAAACTTGTCAATTATGACTATTTCTACTAAAAACTTCAGATTTGTCGACATCGTGGCCTTTGTTTTTACGTATAAACAGATTCCAATATAATGGTTTTTCCATAATTAATGGATGCTATAAAGTTGTTGGTTATATTAAGATTTCTCGAGCATAAAAATACGTTTAAAAATATTTTCTAGTATATATCTACGGTTTAGAGTATATAATCAAAAGAATGAACTACGTTACAAGCATTCTAACGCACGCCTTGTTTCCTTCAAATAAGTTCAAGCTTAGGAAATAAGATATGCGTTAGAATCTTCTCTTCATTATCTGTCAAATGATATATGTAAAGTATTTTTGGAATGCAAGCACAAAGCAGAATTTTAATAAAAAAGTGTACTTTTCAAAAAAACTCATTTTAGTTTTACTCTTGTCCCTCAAATTCTGTTGTACAAGATACACTAATAGTGAGACATGGTACAACACAGTATTTTAAATTAGGCAATAAAATGATATATGCATTGATCTATCGATGTCCAAAGCCGTTTAAGATGTTAGGTTCAAAAAATTTGAAAGACTATGCTAATCTGGAATCGAACTCGTTATTTGACTGCTGTTTCTCTTATTATAATTTGCTGAACAATATAACTATTTTTCTAGCGTAAATTCATGCGTAGATCTGGATATACACAGAAATAAACAGTGTCATATTTCTATCAATGCCTCCACTGAGCTTTTGTTGATATATCTTATAACACTGCCGATAAAGATCACCCAAGTTTTCATTACTTCATAAATATTTCATCTGCAATAATATTTTCAACAGTATCTTGTTTGAATGTAAAATTAGAGACCTCGATGCCAACACCAATCACTTAGGTTGAGACAGATGAGAATAAAACGAGATAACATAATACAATTAAAATATATTTATGAATCACATAGGTCAACGCTGATGTGGTTTAGTTCGTCTGTGTCTATCTAATGCAAAATAACTATTATTCATTATCCGTTATGAACTGCGTGCCTAATACAAGTTGTAGTTATTCTGTACGCATAGAACAGATCACAACTTACAGAAATGAACCGTTGGGTTTTTTCGTATCTATATCTGATTCGTTCTTGACTAGTTTGTATCTGTATCTAAACTGGATATATGACAGTATGCTTTTTTTTTATAAAACTTTTCAAAAAAAAAGTCAATATATTTACGGTTTCTTCTTGTAGTTATTAATTTCTTCTGCATTCAAGGTATTTGATTTTACTAGATTTATGTTTAAGACACAACTGGCAAAAAAAACTTATCTAATCTGGCAGCTACTTCAACCTAGGTGTATTGTGTATTAAGACAACACGTATAGTACAGTTTATCTCAAATATTCACAGAAAATTTGTTTTTTTCACATATAAGAGCGAAAACAATTGTACCTGAGCGGTTTGCACTTATACTCATAAAACTTCTTACCCGAGCCCATTTTTTTTGCTTCGGGTATAGATTAGTTTTTAAGTTGATTTGCCACAATTAAATTTGTGTTGGTTCTATGGGACACATATTAAATTCATTAAATTCACATATTGATAAAATAGAATAACTGGCATCTGTTTTTCCATTAACAAATAACGTAGTTAATCGTTGTTAACTCTAAAATCAGTTAAAGAGGAAAGTTTATTCTTCCAATCGATATATTTTTGAACTATCACCCGATACTAATTCTTATTGCACGACAAACTTAAAATATAATTGTTTAGATCGCACTAATGATATAACCGTAATTTCAACTTTATTATTGTTCGTTACTTCTCATGATATCACTTCGACATATTCGTTATGATTTGACGATGATCTATGATAATTTTGCAAGAGAATAATATAATAACTATGCAAAATAGTTGAAAATAATCAGTTTATAATCAATGATCTATCTTACGTTACGTATGTAGATAAAACACTGTAACTATTATCTATTACGTACATATGTATTAAAGTGGTTTTTGCCAGCCAGCTTTAAAACATTATTCAAACAAGTTTTTTGTCTATTTGAATACGATCTAATAAAAGTAATAGACATTGTATCTTTATTACGTGCGTTTATTATATAAAACAGACAAATCTACAAGATCTATACTAGTCTTAACAGTAATGAATGAAAAATATGTACGCGTATACGAGACAGTTCTGCACAATTTAAATGCGATGAATGTAGAGTTGAATATTTTATATAATCGTGAGCCATTTCATCAACACGCATTATTATTAGAATCGATAGTTTAATACATTATAGATATGGGATACAGTGAGTGACTTCCATAACCTATATCTCTTATTAGTTTTCACTTTATCCGTAGTTTTGCTACTGTGGTATAACTATTAGAGAATGATAGTTTTAGATACACATCATTACTGTGTTATAGCAGATAATTTAGTTCTCATAATAGTAAAATTTGCATGGCATACATAAAGATACTACATTATGAACTCAGTGTTACAACTATTACGTTTTTGCTACACTGTCAATGAAAAGATGTTGAACAGATTACAATAAAACTTGATTTTAGTCTTGCGTTTTATATGGCGTTTACTTCAAAAGATTGATAACGCGAAAATATCACCTTGGAAATGTTGCGTGCACAAACTGATACTATCAACACTTTATTCAAGATGTAATAGATGAAAGATAGAAAAACAGATCACAATATATGTCAGAAATCCAATGGGGACTTTAAAAAATGTCTCAAAGCAATAAAAAATATTATTCAAATTAAAAATACGTTAAGTCAATCCGTTTGTAGCAACAACAACAACAACAATAATAATAATAATAATATTGAACTACGCACAAAATTTTACTCCTTTGCTAAAATGGACTGTATTTTTCTATTTCTCTAAATGAAAAATTAAATGAGTTCCGTAAAATACAATAAAAAAAAATTACGGCGAGAACTTAATATTGTCGACATCAACGAGTAAACTGTATATCATAACTTACATTTGATTACTGTTCAAAATGTAATAATATTAATATATATATATATATACACGGCAGAGAGATCGAAATGCGAAAAAACAAGAGAAAAGAGCATAATCCTATAACAACACTATAGATATTTATCTAGCATAATGAAAAAAAAATAGAATATATATAAATGAACATCTCTATCGATGAGCTATCATCATTTAAACATCAAACGCTTTATAAGTTAACACTATCATTTATTAATAAGTCATTTTTATTACTCCTACAAAGTGTATATTATCACCATTTTTCTAGATATCCATCCTTTAACGAAACATAACTCATCATGCAACAAATAACAAGAATATGTGTCACTAGCTGTATTATTTTTCTTCTGATTACTAATTCATTAGCTGCTAAGGTATGTACATTCTTTTAGAAATATAAGTCTGTTAAATCGAATTAATTGTACAAAATATGGTATGAATACGCGTTAAAAAATTTTGTGTGTTAGTTTTCTTTCTTTAAATATATCAACAATTTTCAGTCGTTTATGATCGACTTTTCAATAAAAAACATCATAATGAATTTATAGTTGGTACTAGATATGAAACTTAAAAATGTGCTACTATTTGTTTGCCGATTTTTTATATAGAAAAAAATTTCGTTAAGCAGGCGTCTGTACTCTTCTCATGAATAGATTGTGTATGTTGTCTATTTTAATCCGAATTGATTTCTAAAGTGAGCCAGTCATACATAAGTTGATATTTCAATCTTATCATCCACATCAATCAAAAATGTACAACATTCTATGCAAGAATTGATTTGTTAAAATAGTTGAATTAGAGAATATTTGAAAAATAAAATATAAAACTGCTGTAAATATCATGATTAACTAATCACAGTGTACTGTGATTAGTTAATCATGATATTTACAACAGTTTTATATTTTATTTTTCAAACATTCTATACAATTGGTAACAAAATAAATATTGTTCAAAAAAGCAGGAAAATACTTTGCCTGCATATGTAAAGCACAGGAAATACGGTATTCAATATGAGGTTTTACAAAACGGTCGTTTCTGTACCATATGATTTTTACAGTATGTTTATCTGTTTTCTTTCATTTAGTTATCTCAATTGCAAAATTCTGAGTATGTGTGCAGGATTATCAATTATAACAGCTATCTCTCTCATTTATTTTGTTCTGTCTATTATAGAAATGACGATTCACAACATCGTGTCGCTCGTTCAGTATCAGAAACAAACGATAACAATGTAGAAAATCTTTGTTCTCTATATTGTGCAAATAGTCATCCATTTGCTAAACGGTAAATACTCTTAGCTAATATTCTTTCGTACTCATTTATAGAATTAACTATATTTTAGAGCGTATCTGAAAGGATTTGTTCATGGTCGATCATTAAATAGTGATGATATGGAACGATTAAGTGAACGATTTGTGCATGGTAGAAGTATCTATTCAGATGATGATCAGTTGGAAAAACGTTTTGTTCATGGTTGAAAAAAACACAAATAAATGTGATTTATTATTGACGACAGTAGTTCATTATTTATCCGCATCAAGAATACTGAGAAAAGGAAAAAAGATTAATTTTCTTTATAGTTATTCTAGAGAATCGTTTTCATTTTTCTGAAAATTGTATTGAAGTTTTTCTGATTGAATCAAATAAAGTTTAACAGAATAATGGATATTTTTTAATACTATGGAGGATATTAGATTTCTGAATAGTTAGAAAGTGGATGAAAGTAACCAAATGTTTATCCAGATCAATCAATGATATACCAGGATCGTGTCAAATCCTGTGTAAGAATTCTGCACCATTTCTGACACTAGGATCTCTAGGAAGATTTCATGAAATCATGCAGGATAATTTTACAGAGCTTTGACCACCACTATAATGATCTCTGCTGCAAACTAGACAACCTGTCTCAAAAGAAAACCTATCAAATTCAATTAAACGTAGTTTAAGAAGTTTAAAACTTGTGTCCGATCCGAGATCGACATTGCTGATTTCTGGTAAAAATCGCCGCAGTATCAAGCAATTTTTCTCTATAACAACAAGTGATGAAGAGCTGCTATTTATACCAGACGTACTACTAATTGAGGCTATGAAAGTGATCCAAGTGAACACATTTTACAATTATACCTAAGTGGCAACACGCATTCAAAAATTTTAAAAAAGTCGGAACTAGCGTAAAGTAAAATGCATTTCTATCATAAGACAAAATGCGCAATTTAATGAAAACTTCTGGATTAGAGTCAGTCGTTCCATCCTTATAGAATGGCATAGTCTTTATTTGGTCGAATTATCACACAAAGTAAAAAATAACCAACGTTTGACGGCCGTTTTAGATCTCAAAAATCTCAACTTTGACCAACTGTAATTCCGTTGAAAATCAATTCTCCGTACTAAAGGTGTTATCTAACTCTTTGAATGGAGACAGCGAGTCAGATTTAGTTGAAGCGGCAGCTGCAAAAGTTTTTCTCAAGTTCTGTTCGCAAAATCTACTCTTAATTATTATCATGAACGAACGTACGAAGAGAAATGTGATCAATTTGTTCGAAGATGGATTTGAGTTGTCGGTTATCGATTTGTTAGAAAATTCGTCTGTAGAGGAAATCTTGATTTTCAGGGCTTTCAGAAGACTTGCTAAAAAGCATAACTTCACTAAAAGGCATTTCGTTGAGTAATTATTAATCAGACATATCGTAAAAGTAGCGATTCCATTTTATTTGCTGATGTATAAAACGTAAAATGGAATGATCATAAAATGATACACATGAAATTCCTATATAGAAGGTGCTTGGCTTACGGTTGACATATATATATAACTTTGCCCATACAACTACCCTCGGCACTTTCCATTTTTCACCCTCAGTTTTCCAAAAAACCCGTTAAAACCTTGCTTCATGAAAAGAAAACGGAGCTTCTATGACTTTATATTCTTGTTCAGCATGAAGAATTCAATGTACTTCAACGTTTTTGAGGCTTCTTTGTGTTTCCATACCGCAGTTTTCTAAGAGGATTTCTGGAAAACTGAGGGTGAAAAATGGAAAATGCCTAGGGTAGTTGTATGGGCAAAGTTATAGATCCTACTAAGTAGTTCCTATTCTGAAAAAATCTCGAAAAATTTCCGGAGCGTTTAGGAGAAAATCGGGGTCAAACTTCAGGAATTTTTGAAGTAGATTGAGTATCACTCGAATGTAAAGTTAGATCGAGACTGAAATGTTTTTTCAAAAAAGCATTAGTGAGACCTTCAGGTTATTTTTGATGCTCTGCACGATGGGGCAAGTGAAATTTTCGCGGCAGGAAATTCTGTATAAAGTGGGCGGACCTGCACGGAAGGACCCAAAAAGTTTTCGCCTGCAGGCGATGGATCTGCTAATACTTCGACTTCATTCATGGTTTTGTCTATGAAATCCTGATAGAAAAACGGGTTTGTTGAGAAAATTTTAAGATACAGTTTATTTCTGAATTACTATCGTTAGTGAATGATGAAAACCTACAAGCGAAGGAAATATCATATTTAACGGCGCGACATCTATAGAAGTGAGTCATGCATTACACAGTATACATAGTGCTTCTAGGTATATTCAGATATAGTAACTAATAGTACAATGGTCTTAAAATCATAGAAGCTTGTTAAAGAAGCCATGTGGCGATGATGAATAACTACTAAGAATGATTCAGATCAGTCATTGCATAATTTTAACAGAAATTCTGAGAAGAAAAATTGTTAGTTCAACTTCAGCAAAATCCTCAACAAAATAAAATGAAATAAAGACGCGAGAAGGGCTGGTACTGGAATTTCTGAAAACCTTCTTCAGAATATTGAGCGAGAAAACAAATGGACAAGTTGACAATATTTCCAAGTCCAACAACAATATTTTCGTATAAATCCTGAAGCATAAAAACCAACGGCAAATATAATAATAAAAATATTATTATATGATCTTTTTCTCCATCTTTGAAATAGGCGTAGATATTTTTTATAGAAATCCTTATTTGGAGATATGATGAAAACTCTTTCAGAATACAGGAAAAATAACCAGACAATCTTGCAGGAACAACATGATGATAATTATGAACCAACATCGGAAGAAATAGAAGAATACGCGATGTTTATCGGTATCGATCCTGGAAAGGTTTGTTCGCGTAATTTCTCTCATCCTAACCTTCATAAGAAACTTTTTTACCAGGGTTCCCGATCAGAGGGTGCTGGTTCCTCCCTAAAAGCATGTTTGGACTTTCTGGCAAAATCTTTGACGTTTTTCCACCAGCAACTTTCTGCCAAAAATTTCGAAAACTTTATTTCGCCAGCCACTTTTTGCAAAGCAAAATTTGTAGCCCCTCCTATCTCTAAGAACAACCGGAAACCTTGTTCTTGACACATGAAACAATTCTAGGAACCACATTTAATGTGGTTAGCAAAAGAAGGTATTATGAAATCGTTACCAACAGGCTGGAAGCCATGTCAGGATGAAAACAACGAGTTATACTACTTTAATTTTGATTCGCGAATTGTATCTTGGGATCATCCGTGTGATGAACTATATAGGAAAAGAGTACAAGAAGAAAAGTATGTGGCTATAGGTCAAGTTTATTGAAGGTGAAACTTTATCCACGTTTTTGCCATTCTTTTTAAGGAAAATGGAAGAACTGAGAAAACCTGAACGTCTAAATTCTTCGAATATACCGTTGCAAGACACAATAAATCAGGATAATTTGTCTAATATAAGCACACTGACTACATCCACAATCAGTGATTGGATGAAAAGTAGAGAATTAGAAGACAGAAGTTCACAACCAGTATCAGCAACAATAACAATAGTGAAAGATGGAAAAAATATTGGTAAAACTATCTCTTCCTTCAAAAACAAACTGAGGATTGTCCATCAGGTTATGATTTAGATGCTTATTACTATATCGATTCGGATCCAGAAGTGGTAGATGAAGTAGACGACGAAATTAGTGATGATTTTCAAAAGAGCGTGATAAATAATTCACAAGACAGAACGGCACAAACACTCGACGGTATGCCAATCATTTCAAGACTTTTTATTTCTATTCACTGAAATAAACTTTTTTGTAGGTAAAAACGTTGAACATGTAGAAACACTCGTTACTAAACCGCTGGTGCCAGCAGATAGCAATGATATCTTGGAGAATAAACCTCACGTCAATGATATTGACGCCCTTCATAATGATGATGATGAACGAGTAATACGCGCAAACGCAGCAGCACAAGCGGCGGAAAAAAGATTGATATCCGCAACCACAAAGATGCAATCAACAGATAATAATTTGAATGTACGTTCGTGTGGAAGTGTACCCCTTCTCTCTTTTCGAGCTTGCTGTATGTTGTTAAATTAAACTAAAGTAACTACGTCTTTGTTCTCTCGAGATTGGTTGGAAACTAGACAGATCATCCTTTTGGTTTTGTTTTGAAATTTCTGGTTATGAGTGTTCATGAGTTTCTAGAAAACTACGCTTTTCATAAAACATATTTCGCCTTCTCCCTTATGACTTTAGTCTAAAATTCTGAAATATTACAAAGGTATCTTTTTAGATTATTTCTTGCATATTTTCTTTTCTAGAAAAAAATACTGAAAAACGTAAAGTTTCTCAATTTTAAAAGTTCTATAATTCTGTTATAAAATACTTCTGCAATAGTGTCTTCAGTCGTACTTTGTGCTCAATCAGATGAAATTTATGGGGTTACGTAAGGTAACGTAATAAAGTCTCATGACAAAAAAATAGCTTTCAAGAGAAACAAAAAAAATGAAAAATATGAATTATGTCAGCATATGCTAGCACATGTTTTTACTAGTGTCCATCCGGTGTGCAATGCAATATTGTGTCACCTGGACGTTTTGGATTTGGGTATAGAATTCCATAATTTTTCATTTTTCTAGGACATATCGAATGGTTTAATAACATCTCGTACACCAAATAATTACAACAGTAATATCGATTTAAAAAAGGTGAAAAATGCATCGTAAGTTTGCATTTATTTCACAGCTCAATAGTTGATCTTGAGGCAATCTTTTTATTTAGACTTGAAGATAAAAAATTAGAATTGTTAGAGAATAATCGTTTATATGTAGAGAAAATGAAAGCCGATTTTCAAACAACAAAAGAACGTGACGAAAAACTGTTACGAAATAAAATGAAAGCGGATTTAAGGTAAAAAAGAAAGTACTTTATTTCAATTGTGAAACTTGATATTTGTTTATTTTTAACAGTTTAATTGAAGTGAATATTCGTGATAATATTGTTCGTCAAAAGGAACTATTGGAAAATCGTAAACAAGATGAACTAAATCAAATAAAACAAGATATTGAACGAGAAAAGGATGAATTAACACAAAAACTTCGGTATGTTGACTTCTAGCTTTCTTCTGATTTTAAAGAATTGATGATTGTTTTTACTAGACGTAATATGCAAACGGATATTAATACTGAACAACAAAGTAGTAATAATAATAATAATCAAATACAAATATTGCAAGATCAATTAACTCAAGAAAAACATGAATATGACGAGGTGAGATGTTAAATCTTTATCTTATCTTGTTTTAAACTAACAGAATATGATTTAGAGATTAAAAAATTTGGAAAATAGATACAAAAAAGACTTGGAAGACTTTTCACAAAAATATGACAGAATGAAATTAGAAAACGAAACATTAAACAACAAAACAAAAGAGGTATTTAGTACAAGTTTAATATAAATTTGTCATGTTCAGAAGTAATATGCAGTACTGTGTGTGTATTCTCGGAGAAATACTAATCAACTCTAAAGTCTCAATATTTTAAAATACTAGCATACCTATATCAATGGTATTTATCTGTGTTCAGAAAGATGATCTTTGTTTCACATTACAACGTAATATTGAAAAATTACGTCATGAAAATGAAATATTAAGCCAAAAAATTCGAAAAATAGAAGAAAATCATCATTCTACACGTTCGTTGATCAGTTCGCAACAAGTACAAGACAAGTATTCGAAGCAAGAAAAAAAAGAACTATTAAGATACAATGATAGCGACGACAATGATGACGACAATTTACAACAAACAATCGCACATGCAGAAGATGATGATTTAAATTTAAGCGATAATGACAGTGATGTGATCAGTATGGAACGTACACTTAAAGAATTACGAACAAACAAACTTGAATCCATTAAACAATTAAAAATATCACTTATATCTAATCAACCAGAGCAAGAGTTGTCATTAAAGAATGCTCTCGATATGGATGCTATTCATTCAGCTAAACAATTGTTATCACAACATAAAACATTTAAAACACAAAATAAAACAATCTTCAATCAAACATCGATAACTGACAATATACATCGAGAAACATTATCAAATACCATGACAAATGTCTCAACACAATTAAATGATATAGTAAATAATGAACAGGATGAAAGTGGAAATAAAACAAATTATTTGAATGGTATTGATCTTGCAAAATTACCCGTAAAAGATGTAAATTCTGTTTTGAAAAATTTATGTACTATAAATAAAAATGTGAATCGTATGTACGATCTAATTAAACAACAACAGTCTCCACATCATTTATTCTCTCCAATACCGTATGAAGTAGCAATGGCAACTACGTCAATAAATCATTCTATAAACTCAGTAAATCTTAGCAGTCGTGTTGAAAAACATTGGACATCACGACCGTATTCAATACCGGAATATTTAAGACGTGATGTCCCATTAGCCATATCTCTGTCAGATATTTGTACATTAACATCGTCAGTACAAAATAATTCTAGGTTACAAACATTGACATCATCGCCATTAATACAAACACGTTTAAAAAATCATCGTCAATATATTGAACAATCAAAATTTCAAACGAGTCTAGTTACAAAAAAAGCAATTCTTAATGCGGCAAAAGCCGTTTTTGATCCCAGTGTTATCGAGAAATTTGAAAAGTCTTAAATGATTTCGTTTTTTCTTTAGACAATCTCATATACTAGATTTTTCCAGTCAGTTATATTACGAAACTCTCGTAGATGAGTCACGTTTAGCAAAGTTTAACAGAAATGTATAGTGGTTACTCTTCCAATTGTTGCTAAGAAAGTCTGTGGTATTAGATAATAAGACTATTCCAAATAGAGACGATGATTGAGGCAGAGAAAAGTTTAAAAAGATCATAAACGAATTTACTTTTCTATCTTACAGTATGTAACATAAAAATACTTACTCTTTTCTTTTACTTTCAATTATATTAATACCTAGCATATTTCTTTTTCTTTGAAAAACATTTTGATTATTTTGCAGAACTCATGTTATTTAGATGTTAGTAGATTAATTAAAACAAAACTGTGTATAGTTTGATTACAAATTATTTTTTTTCCATATTGTGAGTAGAAAAAGAAGAATCTACTGCCGTCGTCCTACTGGAAGGTCAGTATCTCTTTTTTTATCCGACATACATATCAATACAGCCTGATACGCAAAATCATATCGCAGCATAGTTTTGCGATTAGTCTGTTCATTTCAGAACTGTTTACTGAAAAAAATTCGTGTATAAATGAGGTTATTTTTGATATCAGATTTTTTTTAATGCAATTTTCTTCTTAGTTCGTTTTTTAACCAAGAAATTTTTTTATGTTCGACATTTACTATAATAGATATGATTTGTTTTTCCTTGTACTTGGTGCAAATTTCTAAAAGAAAAATCCAGTTAATTTCGGTCAATTAATTTTCCTGCTATAGATGAGAATATATTTGTTTAACTAGACAAATATCTTCTTTTTAGTTAAATTATACGCAAAGCTGGAATAAACATCTATTTTTCCTACATTTAGGTCAATTTTAATTATTTCATTACTAAGTTTTTGTAGAGCTGTATTTTTCAACTTTATACCTGTGAAATTTATAGTTATATTTTTCAATTTTTTGCAGTGTTTATTTATTTTATTGTTTTGCATGATTGAGTACATACTACTTTTGAAGTATATGATACTTAAAATTAACTCTTTGATTACGGATTGTTTTTTCAAAAAATGACAAAAAGATTGATTTTGTTACTACTTGACCAGAACACAGGAGAACGAAGATGTATACATACATGGCGGTGTTACACGATGACGCTGTGGTACTGGCAACATGAAAGAAAAAGAGAGCACTCTTATGGTCTGATCAAGAGGGAAGATCATAACAGCCATAATTTGTGCAGGAACTCAAAACGTATATACATCGATCATTTCTAGAATTGAAGAAAATGTAGAGACTTCTATAGAACAAGTAATATTCAACTGTTGATTCATGCGACTATGAGGTAAATCATAACTATACAGTAAATACTTTAGCTCTAAAGCTGGTTACAGTGAATGATACGTTTGTCTATGCTCGAGTGCCAACAGGAACATCGCAGAGACCTGAAGAAAGATTGTATACATGTTTTTTAAAATTGAAGATATGTAAAAAATCCCTTTTCTCTTTCACTGGCCATGCTTTTGAATGCTAAAGATAGGTCAATACTATGTCCGACGTTTGCCAATGTGTAATTGACCGACACCCATTTCATGCACGCACCTTCTTTTATTACGCAAGTATTAAAAGTTAGTTTCACTAGTTTGATACTTTGAAAAAGTTTTTGCGTCAAATCAGATATATACACACGCTCGTCATTATTTACGCAAAATTTTATGACAGGATAACTTAGCAGAAAAATATACCAGTTGATAAAATCACGTAGAATAATTATAATCAACTTCTAAATTACGATGTTTTGAGCAGATTTTAACAGAGTCAAAGTTTCTACATTTCAAACAGTTTACTAGAAATCCTCTTTTTTTCCTCCCGCAAAATCTAACCCCGTTTTCTTCAGAATTTTGCATAGTAAAAAGACCTAAGGGCGATGCTTTTGTGTAAGAGGATATGGTTACGTTTCTACTTTCATTGTTGTATTTATATCTGAAGTAATTTATTAGGCTGTGTAATATGTTTTTGATTTAAATATAGTAACAAAATCGTGAACTACTATGCGTTTCAAAATACAATGGTCTCGGATATTTTTCGAATAACTTTTCACAGAAATGAGACAGAGATCTGCAGTTTTCAGTTTTGAAACTAGACACCTGACCACATATTTCTGTAAGCAAAATCGAATTTCAGAAAAGCTTCTGAAGCGCGTTTTTCAGAGGATCTTTGGAAAACTAGCTTGGATTTGCCG